ATAATAAAGGCTATATAATCTCCGAATATCGTCATAAAAAAACAATTAGCTACCTGTATTAGTATTCCCTTATATATTATACATGTATACTAACTCAAAAAAAAACTGAATCTTTAAATGTTTATATCTTATAATAAACAATACAAATTTGTTTTAATATATATAATATTGATAATACGCATACATGTAGGAGTACGAAAACTAAAAATAAAATTATACAGGAATAGTGTTTGTCGGCGAGTAGTGAGCGAGGTGTGGTGGACGGAGTTGAGTGAATGCGTGCGACAGTCTAGTCTCAAGGCCATAGACGACGGGATACGCAAGAATAATAACACGTGAGCGTGGAGAGTTACAAACATACATACAGGTGAAACTAATATAAGCTTGCCAATAATATTATACACATCTCTAGGCTGAAGTTTTTAACAGAATCTATATTATATAAATTGCACCCGGTATAGTAACCATACTAATTTAATGAAATTATTCTTAAAAAATTAAAGCTATTAGTTTAAGTTATAAGTAATAAATCATCACATTTTAAATTTACTTAACTGAAAATTATAATTTAAAAATAATTTCTGACAACATTTTTTTATATTAAAACATATTTAGTCTATATTAAAGCAATCTTAACTGAAAATATGATTAACACAACTTGTATTTCACATCGATAAAATTTAATATTTGAAAATGTATAATACTTATTTATTTTCATTTAGTTTGATTTGCATTACTCTCAATTTTGAATTTGTAAACTCCATAGATAAAGTTTCTAAGTTAANGCATTATTCTCAATTTTGAATTTGTAAACTCCAAAGATAAAGTTTCTAAGTTAAACTTATTTCTAAAAAACCTTAATTGGCTAGAATTAAGAAAAAATTTACATATTATTGATGGAAGTCATGGAGAAATCACCTTTGACCAATTGATTAATGGAATTACTAGAAGTAATTTTGTTACATCTGAAAATGTGAACGATAAAGCGAGACAGTTTTATTTGTTTTTAAGTTGCAATCTTTCTATGACACTAAGAGAACATACAGACTATGTAAAAATATTATGGACAGAATGTAAAAAATATCCTGACACAAAAAAAGGTTGTAAGGATTTTATAGTAAGAGAATTTATTGCTTTTACAAACTTTATTGCAGATTGGCCGGCTGCATTTTCTTCTTTTTCAAATTACACTGAAATGGAACTTAAAAATAACATTAATTCTTATGTAGATATAGTGTATTATTTAGCTTCATTATATAAACATAGTGACAAAGATTTAGATGAAAAACTCGATGAATTAGATAATAATGTTCGAGATTTTATGAACAATAACTGTAGACCAATACAGCCAACTCCTTCGTTAATAATCGAACAGTACCGTAAGCAAGTTGAAAATAGGCCTATTGGTGAAACTCTTTTGAAAGTCAAATTTCATCTTGATATAACAAAAATATTAGTATTATCTATTTTGTTGAAATTTGACTTCCTACATTCAAAAAAAAATTCCTCAATGATAATTTTTAATTATAAAATTAATTTTAATTTAGAAAAATTTTTAAAATACTCACCTTTGAAAGAATTAAGAGACAGTTNTTGAAATACACACATTTCAAAGAATTAAGAGACAGTTTGCATATTTATGACGGAAATAATGGAGAAATTACCATGGACCAATTGTTTGATGGAATTGAAACAAAAGATTTTGTTACACCTGAAAATAATGACGATAAAGCCAGACAGTTTTATTTGTTCTTGAGCTGTAATCTCTCTAAGAAATTAAAAGAATATACAGATTTTTTAAGAGTATTGTGGATAGAATGTAAAAAGCATACAGCAGAAAAACAAAAATGTAAAAAACAACTAATAATGGAATTTGATTCTTTCACAAATTTCATTGAAGATTGGCCGGCTGCATTTTCTACTTTCTCAAATTATACTGAAATGGAACTTAAAAATAACATTGATGAATTCGTTATCATAGTTTATTATTTAACTTCATCATACAACAAGAATGACAATTTTATAGACGAAAAACTCGATGAATTATATAATAATGTTCGAGATTATATGAATAATAACTGTAGACCAATACAGCCAAATCCATCGAATGTAGTTGAATGGTACAACACGCAAGTTGAAAGAGAAATACCTAGAGACGAAATAATCGCAAGTATTAAATATTCTCTTTATACCATAAAAATATCAGTAATGGAAATGTTTTTGAAATTCGGTTTCTGGCATANAATATCAGTAATGGAAATTTTTTTGAAATTCGGTTTCTGGCATACAATAAAGAGTGTACCTAAAATAAAGATATTAGATCTTTGAAATTTAGAGACATTCAGTGTAAATGGCATCATAACTCTCGAATTTAATTTCAATTATATTGTTGCATTCATTTATTTATACTGAGATTAAAAAGTCAGTCAAAGGTCTATAATACAAGATTATTTTGTTTTGTTTTTTAATAATATATAATTAAATAGAATAATGTAATAAATTCTTAATTTATTTAT